TATAGCAAACAAGTAATAACTGGTAATAACTGTCTTCTTTCTAAGAATTCCATAATGGCTTCCTTTTTTCATAATTAAAAAATAATAGTTGCTGCAATTACTATAAACTACTCCATTAAATTTCATTTGTGAAAACTATATTTTAAGTCTAACAATGCGCTTTGCTTTTGTCACAGGTCTTTTCATAGGACCGCTGTTGAAGACATTTTCTTACAGAAAGGTTGCTTTCTTTGGATCTGTTCTAAGCTGCATTGGACTGATTCTTACATCGTGCGCTAATAGCATGATCCATATTATTTGTACTTACAGTATTATATCAGGTATGAAACGACAAGTGTATAATTATTGCAATAATTTGTTCATTATTTTCAAAAGTTTTTCATTGAAAATATGGGAAGTCAGTAGATTCTACAAACGTTAAGTTATTCATTAATTTATTATTTTAAGATACAGTGGCAATATTCCAATAAACTACAATTTTTCCAACATTTTGTTGATACCTTATCTTATAAATTCATCCTTCAAATTAGTCAAAAATAAGTTCAATCGTTAGATTCGATTTCGTTTAGAGATCGTCGCAAGATTAATGAATGTCAGTGTATGTATTGTAATTCGCGCTTTAAATGAATATTACAATTCAATATATAATTCAACAGTGCAATACAATTTAATAATACAATACCATTCAATAATTCAACAGTAACGATTCAAATGAATCTTCAAAATCCTTTTGATTTACAAACGAATAAAACTTACAGGTAATTGATGTGACCTAAAAGACGTACTATTTTATGTATGTAAGTACTAGGCAGTAAATTATATAGATAATTGCATTTGCGATTATAATTTACCAATTTCAATGGCTATGATCTTTTCTTAAAATTACGTCAATTTCTCATCAATGAATGAAAAAGGTATTTGAACATGAAGGAGATTGTGCAAATGATGTTTCATATATACTTTTGCCTAACAAACAGTATAGTGAAAAAAAACGTGTAGAAAAAAGATTTAGTTTAAAATATAATTCACAAAACTCGTTTACCATAAAGTATCGAATTTTATAAATTCCCATGTAACCAACAAAAAGCACACATTGATATGTTAATGTGTTCGGTATATACTTATCGTGAAGGCAATATTTCGCTGAAAATGAGCGTAACTTATCCACAAGCAAGTTATTTATTATTTAGCTATTAGAAACTCTTGTCTTGCATCGAATTCAATGCGTTTAATTTATTTTCGTGTTTTCCTACAGGTCTAGGAACCGGTCTTGCACTAGCTTCATCTTTTGTCGCACTAAACACGTTTTTCGATAAAAAACGGGGTCAAGCAGTCGGGTTTTCCATGGCGGGAACAACATTAGCTATGATGCTGGTACCACAGGTATGAAGTATTTACAAGCTTTGTCCCTTAAACATTTTTTTAACTCTGAATAACGTTAATCACTTTCGAATGTCTCACCGCATTCACGTTGTATAGTATGTTGCATATATCAGAAAGTGCACAGCTGGAAAGGTATTGCATAATACATAAGTATAGATTCATAGATTGATGTACAGAAAATAACGAGAACAATGCAGACTTTTTTTTAGCAATTTTTATTTCACCTTTGTATCTTATTCGGTATGGACGCAAGATTGTAATTGTCTTATCGTTGACATGTTATCTAAAGGTCATGATTTTTCAAGAAACACATGCAATATACATTGAGCAATTTAAAATCTCGATTTGTCTAACTTTTAATACACAAATTCGCGTTTATACGTACATGTACAAACACGTATGCTTGGAAACAGAGCATGTGTATAATCTTAATTATTGACGCCAGTCGTTGACCCAGGCTCTTGTTAACATCGGTTGCAATTGTTTTACTGCGATCTTTAATATTTTGAGGGCTTTGTTACCAGGAAATGTACGTGTTTCGGTCATTTTTAAATCAAAAACAATTAAGTGATTGATATTTACTACGAGTTATTGTTTTTAACATTTTTAAATATTCGTTACTTCTGCTTGTAAAAAAATTGTGCGACACTATTTTTGTAGGATATGTAAATATAGATATTTATATAAATATATGTTGACTTTGACAATGTTTCTATTGTGTATAATTTCATGATGAAATTGATTTCAACTAGATCGTGGATCATTGTGCAATGCAAAAATTGTCTACATTAATTGTAAAAAACAGTAATCAATTAAAAGTTTTCTTCTTCATTTAATAATCTTAACAAGATTAATTAAGCACATTTTAACTGTGCTATATTTCTGTTACTCATTTTTCTCATAAATGGACAAAATTCGCAGAGTACAATCATAACATTTAGTGTATACAGCTTCTTTACCATCAAGATGATAATTTATCAAATCATAAATGGGTTAAAATGACCTGACAAATTCGCAGTCTACTTATTAGTTTATTCTAGTTTAGTCTATTTGAGTTTATCCTCAAATAAAACGATGTTTATATATTATGTTACCCTCTAATAATATTACCATTACACTCATTAGTACAATTGGCATTAATATTGCCTAAAACAATTTATATCTATCGATAGCTAATACATGTTCTTCTGGATTCTTATGGATTCCAAGGAACCATGTTGATCGTCGGGGCGTGTGCACTGCATTCCGCAGTTGGTGCATGTCTATTACGACCGCTAGATGATTCGGACCAGAGTATTCGGGTAATTATTTAATATTATTTAATATTATTTAATATATTGATTAAAATTCCCAAAACAAATCCATAGAGGATTAGTTACAGTGAAATATTCATTACAACCTAATTAATAGAAAATCAGCGCATTTGTTCGATATACATTGTTATTTGTTGACGAGTGTTAAATAGTGTTTACTACACCTTAAATATTAAAAATTTGAACAAATACATGTATAATTGTGGTTTGCAATTACGAAATTGCCTTTCTCTTAAATAATTTATTTGAAAGAAATATCTTGTAGTTTTCATTGTTTAGCATCACGAAGATATTGCAATAATTGTTACAAAATTTTAGCCTGCGACAAATTGCTACACTGGAGGTTACTAACTTTCTTTTTTAACAAATTATACATCGAAAAGTGATTTCAAAAGAGGCTAGTACAGATTTTTCCCAAATTGAACAATATATAGTTCTTACAAATAAGTAAGGAAATTCAATTCAATTACGAATTTTTGAAGAACAGAAAACACCAAATTAGATTTTCAATACTTTTAGCGACCAATTTTAAACAATTTGTAAAATTTGGATTGCTAATTTGATATTTCGCAAATAGATATCATCATTTGGACGTTTACGAAAGTATTTTGATTGTTCTCCACAAATCAATTCGCAACCGCGTACGAATTTATAGTTTTCTGAAACAATTTACAAGTGAAATAATCATGCAGTTTTCAAAAACTAACTTAAATAAGTAAAATCCAGAAGCCGGTAACGATCTACTACGTTAGTTTTTTTTAAAGAGAAACAGTTTTAAAGACAATTAGTCATCATCGAACTTCATCTTTGACAGATCGCTAAGAAACCAACCGAAAGTGACACGTTATTAAACAAAAATGGTGGAAAAGTGTTGGAAGAAATAGAGGCTGACAGTGATCCACCGAAAGATGACAGTCTGATAAAGGACGAAACGAAAGGCGAGCAAAAGGACGAGTCATATTTCGACAAAATAAAGGAAACCTTGGATCTGGATCTTCTTAAGAATGGCGTCTATCTGAACGTCATTATCGGGCTGAGTCTGTATTACGTGGCTGAATCGAATTTTAAACTGATGACTCCGTTCTTCCTAACTAGTATAGGTATGCAACGTTTCTTGATTAACGAACTAGTACCGTAACGAAGGATGTTAGTAAAACATAACGAGTTTCTGACGAGCACCGTCACGAATGCTCATTCTTGAAGAAAGATAATGCAAAAACAATGGACAGAATCATTCTAATAATTAATATCCTGAAGTAATTAATGAGTGTACGATGCACAAAGCTTATTCCTCGGACATTTTACTGCACATAACGTCTATTAACTTTTATGAATGCTGCGTACATTTTCTGAATAATAAAAAAAACGAAAGAACCTCGACATGTCCATCTAATATCCTCGCTACGGCACATAGTGGAACGAAATCCGAAAAAACGCGACGAATGGTCAAAAATCGATCGTAAAATTTTCTCGTGCATACATGTCGTAACTGTTTTGGAACATTTATTTTGCAATTGCATTTAGGAATATGCGTTTATGTACAGTCATTATCACAATGATCGCAAAATATGAAGTATGATCACTTTCGTTGGAGAACGATTTTTATTTTCATTCAATGAAACGTTAACAGTAAACAACGAAAAGTAATAGCGATCGGTGTGCATTGCTCGTAAAAGTGAGATCAAATTCATTTAGATTTTATAAAGTATTTATTATAAAATTTGTTCCGATAATGTAATTTATATATATATATATATAGAATCGTAAAATAAAAACCGGTCATTCTAGTGTTAATTACGTGTTGAAAATTGGTGCAAGGAATCATAAATAAATGGTTTCATGTAGGGAAACAGTTCTTAATTTAAATTTCGTTTTAACAATTTATTAAAATTACGAGTTCTAGCTAAAGTTTATTGTAATTTAAATTTCTTAGTCTAGAATCTAGAGACTTTACACCCCAGACTCCAAACACAAAAGGCTCAGTTCCCGTATTATTAACGTTTTCTACCAATTTGGTGCAGTTAATGAAATTACAATGACTAAAAAGTAATTAAAATAAGATTGATAAGAAATAATTAGCTGATCAGATAGTTTCCAAAAATGATTGACAATTGAAGTTGTGTGTGTCACTTCTCAAGCCTCTGCACAATACGTATTCGAAGTTTTCACAGATCAATCTTTGCGAACAGTTTCCAAATGAAAACGTCAATATCAATAACGATACATCAGTGTTACAATCGATTTTTCGACGGTTGATCGCGTTTTTTCGGGTTTCGTTCCACCGTGCGACATTGTTTAGGACTGCGGAAAGACACCTCGAAGGAACTTAACGGTCGATAGGAATGTCAAACCTGGAAGTCGCCACTTGCTTGTCAATAACCGCATTCACCGACATTCTTGCCCGAATCCTCCTGCCGACCATCTTCGACAGATTAGGATTCAAGAAGAGATCCGTATTTTGGGTGTTCTGTCTCTTCGTTGGCATTGGACGGTCTCGTAAGTGTACTACTCTTTAATGTTACGTGAACAATGTACATGGTGTACCATATTACAATGAAACAATTGGTATAATCATGGACACAAAATGACAGTTATTTGAAAAATAACTAGATAAGCTAAGACTAGATAAGATACTACTAAGATAAACTATAACTAGATAAAAGAAATTGTATTTTATAATGACTTGAAAATAATGCAACAATGTTTATAAATTTTTTAAGTATCTTTACTATTTTGTATTCGATCGACTTATTTTTGTCGTATGTTCATAAAATAATATTGATTAGCACTAATTTTAATACATTTTTGTTGTTTGTTTAGTCATGGTAATTCAATCCAAAGGATTGTGGTTGATAGTGACCTTCGTAGTGATTGGGTTCTTACGTGGTGCTACTTTGGTCAATCTAAACCTAAGCGTTTCCGAATGCTGTTCTTTGAAGAAGCTGCCGAGCGCTTTTGGAATGTTCATGGTGGCCAAAGGCATATTCGTCATAATCATGAGTCCGCTAATTGGTACGGCAAAATGACGATAATGTTGTTCCATAATTTCAGCATTTTCGTATGAAGTCTGATATGCAAAGCCTTTCACTGATTTCATTATGTATAATATTACGCACTGAATAATATATGAAACCGAATTAATTTAGAGTCAGTGGATATAATCTGAAGTCAATAGAAACTGTGGACATGTTGATATTTAATGTTTCTTTGATCATTAAAAGCCTACATTTATATTGGATTACCTAAATGCAAAATAATGAATGCTATTAATATTTTAATATCTAATTTTGTTATGTACTCTTTTGTGACTAAATTTCTTTTTTTATTTCATTCGTTTACAATCAATTGGAAGTAAGACATATTCAACGGACTAGGATAAGCGAAAGGTTTTGCCTGTTAAATTGATCATTCAAAATCATGATTAAATGTTAAACATAATTAACACCGAATAGT